AGAGACAGAAAGTGAGAATCATCCCCCAGGGAGGATGGTCATGCCACATCCCTTCTCCTCCATTCTCCTCTCGGGACTCTGGGCACGTATGCACACGCGCCTGGCATGAGTTCCAAGCTACCAGGTCTGGGACTTGACCTGCAGTCGACTACGTGGGAGTCCAGTGATGTAATCCCCATGCCATCTGCTGGTCCTCCTTGCTAATATCTTGAAAAAATAGGTGGGAGTGTGTTGCACGCATGCCCCAAATCCTGACAAGATGAAGGAATGGAAGAGCAAATCCTGGAGTATAACCACACCACATCAGGGGATGGTTTCTCCCTCTCCGTCTTTCTGGTGAGTGCGAGTACCAACTTGGGAATTAAAAAAAAAAAAAAGGCATTAAGGGAGGCAAAACAGGGTCAGCGGATGGCATGGAGGTTATGGTGGCGGGATCCACATGGCTGACTATGCAGTCTGAGTCCTGGACTCGGTGGCTTGAAAATCACACCAGGCCCGTGTGCACGTGTGCCCAAAGTCCTGAGAGCAGGAGGAAAAGGGATTGCAGGTGGCCACACCCACTGGAGGGTGATCTTACTCTCTCTCTCCCTCCCTCTCTTGCTCTCTGTGTCTCCCTCTGATGAGTACACACATCCTCTAGCATGCTAAAGAAAAGGGGAGGCAAAACATTTTTAAAACTCACCGAGAAAAAGGGAATATGAAGTTAAGAGTCTCATTTATAGGCTTTAGCCCAAAGTTACTTTTTTTATTTTATTTTTTTAAATTTTGCTATAAGGCACATGCACTCTCCAGGGAGAGAGCAGGGAGGGGGAGAGAGAGAGCAGGAAAGTGAGAAAGCATCCCAGGGGGTGGCCATGCTACAATCCCTACTCCTCCATTCACTCAGGATCTGGGGCATGCACGCACACATACCTGGCATGTTTTCCAAGCCACTGTGCAGTCGGCCATGTGAGATCCAGCTGCCTTAATCATTATACCACGTGGCTGGCCCACCCAAAGTTACTTTTATGAAACTGATTTAATTAAAAGGGAGAAAACTACTAGGCATTTATTAATGCAACAAACGTAGACTGAATACTTACAACATGCTAGGAGCTGAATGTACTGGGTCATCAAGAAAGTCATGATGTATTTTTTTAAGAGAGATTTTTGCTATAGGGCGTGTGTGTTCGCCAGAGAGACAAAGAGAGACAGAGAAAGCGAGAAATCACCCCCAGGGGGACGACCATGCTGCAATTCCTTCTCCTCCATTCTCCTCTTGAGATTTTGGGCACACATGCACATGTGACTGGCGTGAGTTTTAGGTCGCCGGGTCCAGGACTCAAACTGTTGTCGACTACATGGGAGTTCAGCCTCATAACCATTATGCCATCTGTTGGCCCCATCATGATTAATTTTTGCATAGAAAAATATAGAGAAATACATCATAACTTTCCCAAAAACCTGACAGAATTATAAACAAGATATTAAAAATGAGTCTTGTACTTCAGGAAGTACACGGTGTCCTGGAAAAGCAGGCGTTTACACTGTAGTGGCCTGACAGAATTATAAACAAGATATTAAAATTGAGTCTTGTACTTAAAAGCAGGCATTTACACTGTAGTGACTCGCATAGTGTGTGACGCACAAGGAGGGGGAAGGCCAGCTCTAGAGTACATGGGAGGGACACCAAAACCTGACAGACAAAGATGTGTCACGGGGGCAGGGAGAATACGGGAGGATGTCTGTGGCATGCAGAACACATTCTGGCCTGCAGGAAGGGGGCCTGCACTCAGGAGAGGACTAAAGCCCCGGGAGAAGCTGAGAGCACGCAGGGAAGAGGGTTCAGATAAAAGCTCCCAGGGCAAACGATTTAGGGACTGCTGACTGCAAAAAGAAGCAGCCTCTTCTAAGCTGGTCAGAGAAAGTGGGGACAACCAGGAGGGCAATAAACCCAGGAAGGAAAAGGGCATGGCTCGCATAGGAAATGAGTTACGGTTCATCCTGGGCCGTGGTCAGGAGCAAACTGAACCACAGTGCTGAGGTCACGAGGGGGCCACGAGCTCAGAGCCTGGGATTAGCCTGAAAACGGGTGGGTCGGGGGCGCACATGCCCAGGATCCCAGCAAGCTGGAGGGCTGGGGAAGGGGGACCACAGCGTGACAGGACCTTGCCAAGGGCACTTCTCTTTCTCTCTCATGGACGTACATGTGCTCACTACCACAATTTAAATAAAAAAGAAGCCAGTTACAGTCAGAAAGAATGAATTGCAAATAAGGAGTTTCATAGACCATGTTAAGAATCTGTACTTAACCTGAAGGATGATGGGAGGCACCACAAAGGGAGTGACAAGATCTACTCAGTTTCCCGAACGATCGATGTGTAACATGGAGTGAGGACTGGAGTGCGGCTCAGGCAGGACGGAGGAAGCTTCCGTAAGGTGGGCACTGCAGAGCTCTGGCAACTGGCTGGGCCTGATGCATAAGGGTGACTCCTCTGTTTTCACTCTGAACAGAGGGAGGGCTCATGGCTGCAGCGAGGTGGACTGGGAGGACGAGCCTGGAGAAGGCGAGCTCAGGTTTGGATATGGTGAAACAGAGGCTCCTGAAATACACTGCTTCTGCCAGGTCCGTCCGTGTGGACGTCACGGCCCAGGTTGTGTACTGCTGCGTGCCTTCAGTCATGAAGTCACGGGAGGAGGAAGACCGCAGGGAGTAGAGACCACAGCAAAGGCAGGCACCACCTAAGTGGGTGAGCTATGAGCAGAAACAAGCAGATATGGCCTAGCTCAAAAGGGGCACAAAGTCTAAGGTGGTCACTTCAAGAAAAGGCAGATTAGATGTAACTGTTGATAAGAAGGAGCAGCAAAGACAGCGGGAAGGGATAACTGAGAGTGTGAGTGTGGCCTCCAGAGGAGCAGGAGAGAGCGGCCTCTCGGTACCAAGACACGGAGAGCCGTCTTGGGAGAACAAAGACTCACCTCCCCTTCCCCAGGAGAGAAAGAGGAAGAGGAGCTGGAACGGCATGAGCTTGAGGCGGTGGGTTCAGGGACTTCTTACCTAACTGCTTCTTTGATCTTTGCAAAGCAGGCTACCATGCTAATGTGCAGAACGGGGAGTGAGAGGGGAGGCTGGAGGTTAGGAGAGGGCTCAAGTGGTCTCCTGGTAGAACAGGAAACAGAGCCGACTAGAGAAAGGTAGAAAACCTCCCTGCAAGGGTAGAGGCCAGGTGAGGCGGGAGGCCCAGCTGCTATAAGACTATGGGAAGACAAGACTACAGCAAGATGACCAGGAGTCCCAGAGCGAGTTTCCTAAAACTCTGTCAAACAAAAGATTTTATATTTACGTTTACTGAACTAAGTTAAATGAAAACTAAAATAATACAAAAATTCATTTCAGAGAAATTCACTATGAACTATTACCTTAGCAAAAAGTCTTGCTGGATAACAATTACAGTGTTACCCACCAACTTTGATGTCTGGGGGCATTTGGCAAAGTCTGAAGATCAGGTTGGTTGGCCACGGGTGGAGAAACGGCACTGCCAGCATGCAGGGGCTACTGAACCGCCCACAGTGCACCGGACAGACCCCAACACAGTTACCTGCCCTCAGACGTCGATACAATGGTGTTGAGGAGCCCTGCTCTGAAGCGAGGGCAAGTCTTAGGTGGAGCGTCTACTTTAGACTCCATACTGGCTTCCATTCCCCAGAAACGACTGTTCGCTTGGCGCACGGCTGCTGAGCAACGGAGGCCAGCACAGCCATGCTGAGGGCCCGGTGGCCCCCTCCTGACGTGACTGCTTTCTCAGCAACTCTCCCCACGCCTGCTGACCATCCTAGAGAACCGCCCGGGTCGAACAGCATCTCCCAGTAGCGCACGTCCGCAGTGCCTGGAAACACGACCTTGCTTGGCAATAAAGTTTTTAAGACATAGTCACATAAATTAAGATTAGGATGGGCCCTAAACCCAATGACTGCTGTCCTTATAAGAAAACCGCATGGGGCCAGCAGATGGCATAGCAGTTACGTTGCTAGACTCCCAATCCCAGAGTGATGGCATAGCAGTTACGTCGCTAGACTCCCAATCCCAGAGTCAGTGGCATGAAATTCATGCTAGGCATGTGTGTGTGTGTGCCCAAGATCACAGGAGGAGAACAGAGAAGGAATAGTGGCATGGCCATCCCACTGAAGGGTGATTTCTCACTTTCCCTCTCACTGTCGCTGTCTTTCCCTCCTGCGAGTGCATGTGCCCTAAAAAAAAAAAAAAAAAGGAAAGAAAACCATGTGAGGACAGGTACATGGAAGTGACAGGTGACAATGGAGGCAGGGACTGGAGGGACACATCTGCAAGCCAGGGGACACCTAGGATGGCCAGCAGCCACCAGGAGGCAGGAAAGAGACAAGGACAGGGTCTTCTCTATGGCTTTCAGAAGAAAGAGGCCCTGGGGACACCCTGATCTCAAACCTCAGGTCTCAGGACTCCAAGGCTGTGAGAGAATAAACCCCACAGCGGCAGGACCATGGCAGGTGCAGGGCCAATGTGATGACTGAGGTGCCTGCTGCTCTTCATTTCCACCTTGGGATGCCACACACCTGACGGGACTGCACTTACAGGCAAGCTCGCGCAAGAACCACAGTATTTTAATCCAGATCTTAGCAATGAGACTGAGCCATGCAACAGAACTAGATGAGAATAATATTTACAATAAAAACAAACCCTTGTCTAATGGTGCCCCCTTCTGGAAAGAGGCTGAGCTTGGTAGATCAGTAAGAGGCACGGAATTCTGACACCACCGAAGCTTGTTAGGGTCTAGCTAACCGCTTTCTGGTGAGCATGAGCCACGGTGCGTCAGTGCCACTGGGCGTGGGACTGTGGGCTCGCAAGCCGAGAACTGAGGGAAATGGCGGCTGTAAACTGCTTATTTCTTCAGAAGGAAGAGCTGACAGATGGTGATCCTTCATCCAGTCCAACTCCCACCCCACTCAGCGCGTTAGAAAGAAAGGGATGCCAGGAGCATTAAGCAATCTGTCCAAGGTCTCACACACTAATCAGGGCACAGCAGAAGCCGGGTCACGATTTTCCTGAGTATGTATTAAAACATGGGGACCAAGAGATGGCATAACAGTTACGTCACTGAACTCCCATGTAGTTCACTGCAGTTTGAGTCCCAGACCTGGTGGCTTAAAAAAAACTCACGCCGGGCATGTGTGCGTGCGTGCCCAAGATCCCGAGAAGCGAATGGAGAAAGGATTGCAACGTGGCCATCCCTCCTTGTGTAGAGGGGTAATTTCTCACTTTCTCTGTCTCTCCAGTAAGTGAATGTGCTCTATTGCAAGAATATCGCTTTAAAAAAAAATATATATATATATATGTACATATAGAACAAAATGTGAACTTACTGCACCCTTTCTCTTTTCTATTTAAAAAGAAATGTTGCTGGAGGGTGCACATGCACGTCCCATGTGGGACCCAGTCACCTTAACCGCCGGGCCACTGGCTGACCCATGACACTTTTAAATAAGTTTACTTAATTATCTCTTCCAAAGGAGAGAGGGAAAAAGAACGCTCACTCGAGGCCTTGGCAGCCAGGACCATGGGCACGGATGGACCCGGGACCTGCAAGTGGCCTTCAGGTAGCACAGTGCTGTGCTACTGCTGTGCCGCCACCGCTGGCCAGCTCTCTGCTCTTTTTTTTGAGTTTATTGTTTGTTTGTTTTTGCTATAAAGCACATGTGCTCGCCAGAGAGACAGAAAGCAAGAATTTTGGGCAGGCACACACACATGTCTACCCTGAGTTTTAAGCCGCTAGGTCCCAGATTCGAACCACGGTCAACTACATTGGAGTGCAAGGACGTAACCATTACACCATCTGCTGCTCCCAATTCTCTACTCTTCTAAGGAAGCTACCTGAACACACGGTATGTACAGTCTACATCAAGGATAAACTGGAATCTGGATTCACCTTGGACCTCCCAGAGCATCAGATTGGCAAGTGTGATGGAGGCGCACGCACATGGGCAGTGGGCACTTCCTGCCCACGTGCGCGCGCCCTCCCACCATGGTGCAACCTGCCGACTGGCTCTGCAATTAGCAGACGGCACCTGAGTGGAGACTTCGGTGCCTGTGCAAGGCTGCTTTTACCTACACAGATAAGCAAGCCCAGGGCCACCTGCACTGCAGATGCTGAGAGGCTATGCAGAGCAGAGTCGGTGGTGTGGCAGCTGAGGCTGCTGAATCCCACATGGCCAAATGTGCAGTTCGAGTCCTGGACCCAGAGGCTTGAAAAACACACTGGGATGTGTGTGTGTGCGTGCCTAAAATCCCAAGAGGAGAATGGAGAAGGGACTGTGGCATGGCCATCCCTTTGGGGGTGCTTTCTCCCTCTTTTTCTCTCTCTCCAGCAAGTGCACTCACTCTCTGGTAAATTAAAACAGAAAAAGAAAAACGACAAAGCAGAGGTTGGCAGCCAAGGCCAATACCAACGGGGCTGCAAAACCCTACTTTACAGGGACCACGGCTCGACCTGTGGGGTCCTTCACAAACAGCCCAGAGCAGCCGCCTGGCAGCTGACCACAATGGGACTAGCGAGGATCAGTGAAACTGCCACCCAAGCTCACCCCCAAATGGCCAAATACAGACCTGTGAGCCACAGCAAATACCACCACCACGTTTTGTGGGGACTATTAAGCAACAAAACCCGACTGACAGCTCTCTTTTACACCACGGATGGAACTCACGAGCTACTCACCCATTCGCATCACATGTAAGGGGCCCTGGCAGGCTGTCTGCGTGATCACCATTTCAATGGTGCACTGTTTTCTAGCAAGTGCGGAGGGATGTTATGGCGTGCTTTTCCCCTGACCTAGCCAGCGAGAACCCTCCCGTGGCACCAAGTTCAGAATAACTACTTGTGGCAGTGCTAGAGCCCAGAACCATATCCTGAGCTTTATTCAGTAACATGTCCCCTCAGAGGTAAATGAGCCATAACTGAACAAACGTGCTATACCTGCAGTACTGCAGAAAAGCCGCTTTTAGCAACTTGGTTTTATCTTCCTGTGCTATGGTTTCATTCTTGGTAGACGTCTCAAAAACCACACTCTGAAAAATAGCAAATTATAATTTACAAGTGAAGGCATCTGAACGGCCTTATTTCTGAACTACAAATGAGACCTGTGAGCTGTCCACCTGTCCATGCCGTCATACATGCACTTACTGAAACGGAAATACGTCCAACGATCAAGCAAAGCCCTACAGAAGAGGCACAGCTAGAACGGGGTTATGTGGTGAACAAGGTTATGTGGAGACCGCACTGCAACCTGCAGACTCTCTCCACAGGCTTGCCGTGTGCAGCTCAGCACATCGAGCATCACTTAGCACAGGGGCGATCACAGTGTAAACAAGGATTTAGAAAAAGTAAAAAGAAACGTAACACGGTAAAATAATTTCATAACAGGTAACAGTATTACCATAAGGACATGATTACAAAAGAAAATTTTAAAAATTACTACTGGGGCCAGCAGGTGGCATGGTGGTTGAGGTCCTGGACTCCCACATGGCCGACCATGGTTCAAGTCCCAGAACTGGTGGCTTACTTTCTCACTTTCCCTCTCTCTCTCTGTTTAAATTAAAGCAATAATGATGATGATGAATAAAATTAAGTAAAAAATAATTATTTAAAAAATTGCTACTTTCTGCTGAACTGGACCAAATAACTCTCAGTTACAGAAGTAGCCTATCTAGCCCATACCCACTGAAGTAGGAATTACTCCAGACAGTATAAATTATTGTTGTTCTCCTATAAAAAAAATGTTAACAATCAAGGATAGGGATATTTCAGGATTCAAGATAACAGAAAAAAAAAAAACCAAACTGGTAGTTTTTACCCCATTATCCCTCTCAAAAGTCTTCCCAGAGACACAAGCTTGAGGGAGCTCTCTGGAACTCTAAGCCCGCCAGTACAAACAGGGAGCCAGAGGAGGAAGGGGACATAAAGTGCGGGGAGGACATGGGGACACGTGGGTGCGGGGTGGACGTGGGGACACCTGGGTGCGGGGAGGGCGTAGGGACACGTGGGTGTGGGGAAGACGTGGGGACACATGGGTGTGGGGAGGCCGTGGGGACACGTGGGTGTGGAGTGGACGTGCAGACACATGGGTGCGGAGTGGACGTGTGGACACGTGGGTGTGGAGAGGACGTGGGGACCCGTGGGTGTGGGGGGGTGGGGGGGG